TTCGCGATCTCAATGGCGGGCTGGGACGTTCGATCATCTAATTATAATCACAAGACCCGCATCACTCGTATGTGTGTGTGTGTACGTGTGTTATTGCATGTGTATTGTGCGCACGTTTGCTTGTGTGTGTATGAGTGTGTATGTGTGTATTGCATGTGTATTTTGCACACGTTTACTTGTGCGTGTGTGTATGTGTGTGTGTGTGAGTGTGTGTACGTGTGTTATTGTATGTGTATTTTGCTAACGTTTCCTTGTGTGTGTGTACGTGTGTGTATAAGTGTGTATACGTGTGCAAGTGCATGTGTATTGTGCGCACGTTTGCTTGTGCGTGTGTGTGTATGTGTGTGTGTATAAGTGTGTATACGTGTGAAATTGCATGTATATTGTACGCGCGCGTGTTTGTGTGTTATGTGTTAAGTTTACTTGAACACAAAGGAAAGACACAAGTTTTGGTTGGGTTTGTTTTTTTTACTGTTCACCTCTTTCAACGTGCTTTCAATTCGCTGTTTTTATTTTTTTTTTAATAAATGAATTAATTAATTCCGCATTTTAGTTCCTTCACAATAGGAGATCCTAATTGTTTTTTAAACGAGTAATTAAAAATTGTAAAAAGCAATTAAAGATGTAAAGCTTGTGTTACACAAAGAGACGGGGTGAGGTTCAGAGTTAGTGTTGATTTTAGAGGTGTGTATACACTTGAGGTTTTCTTATTCTTTCTGTATGTCTACACCGGAGCCTCCTAAAACTTCTCCAACATTGCTGACGAACTACACAATCGTTTTCAGTTGAGCAATGTAGGCAAAAAGTTTTAATCTCTATGTCAAAGGTAGACATAAAGATTCCTCTTTAGACCTACGATCCGTTTGGGCAGATGAGGTAGCGTTCATATGTGGTCAGAACTTTGCCCAACGTGTTTACTTTCCCTAACATGGGTTAGGTACCCATCAGAGCTAGGTGGACTCAGGGACGTTCTGTTGACTTGTACCCGGATTCGAACTCGAGACTTTCGGGTATTAAAGTCAAAGAAAAGGCAGTCTACAACCAGATAGGAACTGGTGGCTTTCGGGTTAGCAGACGCCAGCTCTACCATTCGACTACGCCGTCCACTCCTTTTTGTATTTGTTTATTCCTGTAAAAAGTCTTTTAAAATTTAAACTAAAAAAAATATTCGTACTTTGGCTATGTATTCAGATCGATGTTTAACTATTTTTAAAAATTTGCCATCAGTTCACATTTTATGTTTTCGACCTGTTTCCTCGTTCAAAGGGTTTATAAAAAAATGTGTGGCATTTAAGTTAAGACCACCCAATTTCTAGTCCACCGCACTGCTTATAACTTGGTGATCTGGGGAGATAACTCGATGGGCGTGTCCAAACAAAAGGTCAGATTTGTGGCCGGGTCATACCGTTCTGCCGAATCAGAAGGGCTGGAATTTTAAAACTAACCAGTAATGTCCAAATAACATGTGCATTTTTAATTTTTAAAAATTGTTTAAAAAAAAATTTAATTCGTATTCTTTTTTACAACAAGCTAGTATTTTAGTATTTTAAAGTTTATTCTTTTAAAAAATTGTCAATTGGGAGATGCTTTAATTTTATTTATAATCTGTAACGATAACGAATTGATTTTCTTTTCAAAATACCTAGTTACTAATAAATTAGGAAAATAAAGCGGGAGTGACCTCCCCTAAACTTCCTCGTATATTCTTAGATAATACTAATAAGGATGGCTACTCTAGTGCAGTTGCGATATAGACATTTAAAAAAAAACAACTTTCAAATACTTAAATTTTTAAAATAAAATAGAACCTCGTAGAAAAAATAATTGCGCACCAAAGGAACAGCAAATAATGTGTGTATAATAGTTCGGAGCATTAGTACCTTAAAAAGGTCACATTTCAAATACAAAACATTAAGTTACTCATCACTAACCCCAGCCACACACAACACACTTCATCATACACAACGACCACACACCACAACCACACACCACAACCACAAACCACAACCACATACCCCAACCAAACACCACAACTACCTATGCAACCACAAACCGAAACGGCATACTGCAAAGACAAAATCCAATCGCAGACCACAAACACATTTATACACAATAACCACCCACACACTAATTACCACAACCACACACCACCACCATATAGTTTTAGACACGCCGTACATCTACAGTCTTTCAAAGCTGCCTAATGTCTCGTCCCCCCCCCCTTCTTTTTTCACATTCCTTCCTTTTCTCACCCCCTCCCTCAATGTCTACCTCTTTCTTTCCCTCCTTCTCTCTCTCATTTTTCCATCGCTCATATCTATTCCTCACTCATTGTCCTCCTTCCTTTCTCATTTTCTCCATATTTCTCCCTCCATCCTTCCCACACCCTCCCTCTATTACCCGAAACTCAACCCACTTATCCAAAAACCCGATACACTAATATAGATTAAAAAGACGTTCTCAAAAATACACTGTTGCCATGACAACATTCACTCATAATGACGTAACATTCACGTTTCAAAACTTTAGACTCCTAGTTTTAAAGAAACAAAATTTCCCAACAAAATAAAAAGAAAAAACAGCGGCAATAACTCTAACTGCATTTACAGTATCAACACGTTCGTATTTGCCCTTGTTATCATCCTCCCTCATCGCCCCCCTCCCCCTTTCCCCCGACCCCAGTCACAAATCAATACTTCAGCCTCTGTAGCTTTATTTGATAAGGGTAGAATTTCGGTGGATGGGGGTGGGGGGGTAGCTTCTTTAGGACTGCACACATAGGGTTTAGATGTGTGTGGAGTGGTGGGTAGAGAGACGAGGTGGGCGGGGTGTGAGTGGGAGAGTGGGGGGTGGGGGGAGTTCAACATTCCAACACTGTAATGTTTGAGTATGTTTGTGTGAAGCTGTAGAGGGGGGGGGAATAACTGGAACTTTTCCGGTTGATGGTACCAGAGAGACTTTGTTTAGTGACCGTTGTTTGTTGGAGAGTACTTTGAATTTTTTTTTCAACTGTAGACGCTTGATGTTAGGGTTAGGATTAGGATTATGTGTTAGGGTTAGGTTTAGGTGTTAGATTTTAGGGTTAGGGTTAGGTCTAGCCTGACTTTGTTATACGGGTTAGGGCTCTCTGTCCTGGTAGATGGTTAATGTTAAGGTTCTGTTGTGATTAATGAATGGTTAGGGTTAGTTAATCCTATTACTGTTAATGCTCAGTCGTGGATAAAGGTTTTATGGATAAAGATTATTGTGAATATGGTGTAATTGTTACATTGAAAGCGACCTATTGATAAAGTTCCCTTTTCGAACCTGACGGTCAACTGGGCAAGTGAAGTAGAATCCACTTGTTTCTGTGACTTTGGTTAGTTATGTGCCCAGCCGCCTTTAATTTCCCTATCGTGAGTTAGGTACTTATCAAAGCTGGGTAAACTCAAGGAAATTCTACTGACTTGAACCCGGATTAAAACTGGAGACTTTTGCGTACAAGTCTAGCGCTCTAACGCTAGGCCACACCATCCCGTGACCTAGGGATAGGCAATGGTGTAAACATCGAAATTAAACCGCGGGTTGGGTCCACTATAGCTTGGTGGAGTTGGGAAAAGTAAATGCAGAATGCTGAACACAATATTCCTTCATCGGCCGAGCACAGAGGAACAGATTAACTCTAATTCTTCTGCTCCATGAACCGCCAAGCATAAAAAGTATTATACCTATTTTTAGAAAATATCCTAGAATCCATGAATCTCTATAAAAGGCAATCAGGCGATCAGACTTGGTACGCTATAACGGAAAAGAACATAAATCTCTCTTTATTTATATTTTGTTTCTGATATGAAGGAAATAAAGCTCAGTTTTAAGATGTTACCAACATGAGCGAACCTCGTCAGCAAGGAAAGGGAGAGAAGCAAGCTCGAGATGTAGAAAATTGATAAGCAACATGACCGATGTGGACTCCTAATAGGGGGGGGGGAGTATTTTTGTAGATGGGTGAACAGCAGTAAAGGGCGGGGAGGTTGGGGAAGAAACAAGAATAAATACACTGTATCAAGGGGAGAGTAATCTTTACTAAGGGAAATAACTAGCTGGTATAAAGGGAAATAACTCGTCCAGTGGCGGAGGAAGGAAATTAAAATGTGAACGCGCTTGAAATTAGGTCACGTGAGGGAAACAGATGATTTAAATTGTAAAAACAATATTTTGTAAAACAAATTTAACTTTTATTTATTGTAAAAACTTTCCATTAATTGTTAATTTATTTTATTTACTTTTTGTTAAACTTTGCAAAACGGCATTATATTATATTATAAACATATTTCAGAATGCAATTTTATTTACTGCAACAACAAACTATGCACATGTAATAAACACTCTTTTTTCGCCAACAGTACAACTATAACTAACTTCAAAAAAAAAAAAAACTATCTTCATATAACTAACTTCATGGTATAAGTATAACCTAAGAAAATAATTCATAATTTACAAACAAAGACAGAGTTGTATCCCATACGGGGCATTAATATTAATAACAGAAAATGGTTTTAGCTTTAGAGTAGTTTAGAGTAAGGCAGCTGGGCATGGGCATAATGCTGAGCACAGTATCTTTTTGTATGCCAAGGTCATTAAAACAGATGAACACTACTTTATCTGACCCTTGTATAATGGTCACGAACGGGATTTTAAAAAGCTGAGTCGAATTTTTTGTTACACATTTTATGTTTTCTAATTTTTCAGATAAAATATTTTTTAACTAACGCTATACTCGATAGATAACATCGGAAATTGACAACAGCACACAATTTAATGGTAACTAAGGGACAGCATCACACAACTTAACCCTAACCTTAATCAAGGGACATAACCGTCTCGCCATACGAAACACCGCGATCAGATTCTCTCCCTTCTATCTTTAGTGCTGACGTCACCCAAGCATTGGAAGGTTTCTTGAATTCACCCAAGTCGCATAATCTCTTGTCCGTCTCGAATATTTATAACCCTCGGTCAAGATGAATATTTTTTCATACAATGATTTTGCCGTGGTCCGCGACAAAACCTTTGCCGCGGTCCTCAGCAAAGGTTTTGCCGTGGTCCGCAGCAAAGGTTTTGCCGTGGTCCGCAGCAAACTAAGGTTTGCCGTTGTTCGCATCGAAGGTTTGTCGTGGTCCGCTGTTAAGGTTATGCTGTTATCAGCAGCCAAGGTTTTGCCGTGGTCCGCATACAAGGTTTTTGCGTTATGTTATTCAAAGGTTTTGTTGTGGCCCGCATGCCGTGGTCCGTAGCAAATGTTTTGCCGTGGTCCGAAGCAAATGTATTGTTGTGGTCCGCAGCAAACGTTTTCTTACCGTGGTCCGCAGCAAATGCCCTAACGAGGTCATCACCACGCAGACTTGCAGATGACATCCCGGCATGCTCTTCTGGGAAATCGCCCGCACGGCACGAGAATAATTTTACAACGTAAAAATCGTCTTAGCCATCACCAGGACATTCCCCTGACACCCCCCCCCCCCACCTCACCCACCACTGTCCGATGTATATTTATTTCAGATATATGGACAAACCCTCCTTTAACCCCCACCCTCTCTCAATGCATTTTTAATCTGAAATTAAGAGAAACTCTAATTTCAACTTTAAGACAGTCCTCGAAATTATATATTTCGATATCATACATTATCCCCCCCCCCTGTTAACCATTCCTCCCTTTTGGTTGATTACCCCCCCCCCCCCCAACACACACACATACACATCTCCACCCCACCCCACCCACCCCGCACCATTATTTGTCTCAGACAAACAGCACCACCCATGAATCATTAAAGAACACGGCGAGATATCCCTGCACTACGATTTATTTTAGCATACCACTCACCTGGGGGATTAATCTAACTGCTGAAGCCGTGAGTTGACCGGATCCGGCTCTTCATTTTATCACCGATATGAATATTTGAATATGGTTCGGTCTCATCAAGATACAGTACTGCAATATATTTATAATAGAATATACGAATTTAAAAGAGTCTGTCTGGGAAAAAAAATGGTCACATAATCCCCGCCTCTAAGCCGAGTCAGAGCGGTAGATTTATGTGGGCGGGGTCAGTGTTGGTGTGCTACACTCATTGAACAGGTGCCTGTTTCTGTGACCTCGGTATAAGAAGGGATGGTGCGGTCAGCACAGTACCCGTACTTTCCTAGGTAAGTCAGGTACCCATTAGAGCTGGTTTGACTCAGAGTCTAACTACATTCTAAATAAACTTTCTCGTAAGCTGTTATAACATTATAAGTCAACTCCCCATAAATAGCTATAACCTTCTGAATCATCTTTCCCATGCATACAGATCTATAACATTTGCAATTAACTTCCGTATTTTCAGTTATAACATTCTGCATATACCTTCTAGTACGCTTCATTAATTTTCTGAATTACTTTTTCCAACTCCCAACAAGAGATCAGACCACCAGACCACTAGACCAGACCACAACTAGTTAACTAGAACTAACCATAGCAGCATCTACCAGAGTTTCTTTCAGACATCTCTTCGGTGGGGGGGGGGGCACCATGGAATTTATATAGAAAATATATACTTTTAACAGTGTCCGCCCCCCCCCCCCCCCACGAAAATTTTAGTTCCCCCCCCCCCGAAAATTTCAAATGCCCCCCCCCCCCTCCTGAGAAAAAAAGTCTGGAAGAAACACTGTACCTGTTAGCCCAACGACCGAAATATCATCCATCCGATTTCAGCCTACTGATAGTGATAGCAATCGAGGTAAATAAAAAACATTGCCCTTAATGGGGTAATAACCAGCATGACACGGCTGGGAATCAGGGGTTGGGGGATGTGTTGGGGGGGGGGGGAGTGTTAGAAATTGGGGAAGGGGTGTTAGGATTGGGCGTGGGGGCTCATATCATCACGGTTATATTCAACCCTTCATACATCGCAGATTCTTTTACAAAACTTAATTTCCTCTGCGACGAACAAAAAAAATGTCATGGAAAATAAAATTTCGAATGAAACTTTATGCGTTCCCTACACTTCAATTTCCGGTCTTTGAAGTGACGTCACTTCCGATCCCGAGGTTTCAAAACACAAATGTCAATGTGAAATTACTGGTGTCGGGTCAGCGGCGTCCGCCAATAAAAAAAAGCTCTCATTTAATGGGTGGTTATCTAGGGGCATTTTGTAAAGTGTTATTTCTCTATCATCAAATATGTGGTTATCTAATGGCATTTTGTAAGGTGTTATTTCTATCGTCAAATGTATGATTATCTAGGGGCATTTTGTAAGGTGTTATTTCCCTATCATCAAATGTGTGATTATCTAATGGCATTTTGTAAGATGTTATTCTCTATCAAGAAATGTGTGATTATTTAATGACACTTTAAGGATTATTTCTCTATCATCAAGTGTGTGATTATCTAGGGCAGGGGTCTCCAAACTACGGCCCTCGGAGATCTTTTTGTCCGCGAAAAAAAAAGTTTGTTGGAGGTGGCTGAGGTAAAATTCAAAACAAATTGAAAATGTAGCATTGAGTGCAAATAACATTGAAGTAAATGTGGCCAGTTGCCCAGCAAATGACCTCCTTAAACTAAAGACAAGTTCAAATAAGGGCGGGTGGGTTTTATAAGTATTTTGCCCAAGGAAGACTTTTCTAATATTAAAACTTTTGCCTCAAAGTACCTTTCAAATTTTGGAACAACATACAAACTTTATTAAGAATGAAGTAGGCCTACGTGAAAAAAAATGTGAGAACAAACTTGGACCTCGAGTGTGTTGTCGGTCCCCGAAAGTGTTTCTTTCAGACTTTTTTCTCGGGTGGGGGGACACTTGAAATTTGCATATATATATATATATATATATATATATATATATATATATATATATATATATATATATATAAATTCTGGCCCCCGGACGTATATTTGATAGCTAATGCGGCCCTCGGGCTGAAAAGTTTGGAGACCCCTGATCTAGGGGCATTTTGTAAGGTGTTATTCTCTATCATCAAATGTGTGATTATCTAATGGCATTTATAAGGTGTTATTTCTATCGTCAAATGTGTGATTATCTAGGGGCATTTTGTGAGGTGTTATTTCCCTATCATCAAATGTGTGATTATCTAATGGCAGTTATAAGGTGTTATTTCTATCGTCAAATGTGTGATTATCTAGGGGCATTTTGTGAGGTGTTATTTCCCTATCATCAAATGTGTGATTATCTAATGGCATTTTGTAAGATGTTATTCTCTATCAAGAAATGTGTGATTATTTAATGACACTTTAAGGATTATTTCTCTATCATCAAGTGTGTGATTATCTAGGGGCATTTTGTAAGGTGTTATTCTCTATCATCAAATGTGTGATTATCTAATGGCATTTTGTAAGGTGTTATGTCGGTATCATCAAATGTGTGATTATCTAATGGCATTTATAAGGTGTTATTTCTATCGTCAAATGTGTGATTATCTAGGGGCATTTATAAGGTGTTATTCTCTATCATCAAATGTGTGATTATTTAAGGGCATTTTAAGGGTTATTTCTGTATCATCAAATGTGTTAATATCTACGGGCATTTTGTAACATGTCATTCTCTATCAATAAATGTGTGATTATTTTGTAAAGTATTATTTCTGTATCATCGAATGTGTGATTATCTTAGGGCATTTTGTAACGTTTCAGTTATATTATCATCTGTGATTATCTTAAGGCGTACAGCCCAGCGTTTGATTAATCCGCCTTGCCTCATTTAGAATGTAAGACAAAAGACCGACATCCAAAAGACCGACATCCAAAAGACCGACATCCAAAAGACCGACATCCAAAAGACCGACATCCAAAAGACCGACATCCAAAAGACCGACATCCAAAAGACCGACATCCAAAAGACCGACATCCAAAAGACCGACATCCAAAAGACCGACATCCAAAAGACCGACATCCAAAAGACCGACATCCAAAAGACCGACATCCAAAAGACCGACATCCAAAAGACCGACATCCAAAAGACCGACATCCAAAAGACCGACATCCAAAAGACCGACATCCAAAAGACCGACATCCAAAAGACCGACATCCAAAAGACCGACATCCAAAAGACCGACATCCAAAAGACCGACATCCAAAAGACCGACATCCAAAAGACCGACATCCAAAAGACCGACATCCAAAAGACCGACATCCAAAAGACCGACATCCAAAAGACCGACATCAAAAAGACCGACATCCAATAGACCGACATCCAATAGACCGATAGTAATGAACACAGGAAAAGTTTGATATAATGTTTAACCATTAATTGCTAGAAAGACCCAAAGGTCACCGTTATTCCATGTTTAACCATTAATTTGTGTCCATTTTGTCCCAAGCCATCGATCTATGGCCACAGTTCGCGCACCGATCGAACGGGTTTAATGGCGGTTAATTGCTCGGGTTTTATGTGATCTGGTGGTTTCGTGGTCTCGTGTACTGATGGTCTAGGGGTCTGGTGGTCTGTCTGGTGGTCTGGTGGTCTAGTAGTCTGGTGGTCTGGTCTAGTAGTCTGGTGGTCTGGTGGTCTGATGGTCTGGTGGTCTCGTGTACTGATGGTCTGGTGGTCTGCTCTGGTGGTCTGCTCTGGTGGTCTGGTCTGGTGGTCTGGTCTGGTGGTCTGGTGTACTGATGGTCTGGTGGTCTGGTCTGGTGGTCTGCTCTGGTGGTCTGGTGTACTGATGGTCTGGTGGTCTGCTCTGGTGGTCTGCTCTGGTGGTCTGGTCTGGTGGTCTGGTCTGGTGGTCTGGTGTACTTATGGTCTGGTGGTCTGGTCTGGTGGTCTGCTCTGGTGGTCTGGTGTACTGATGGTCTGGTGGTCTGCTCTGGTGGTCTGGTGTACTGATGGTCTGGTGGTCTGGTCTGGTGGTCTGGTCTGGTGGTCTGGTGTACTGATGGTCTGGTCTGGTGGTCTGGTCTGGTGGTCTAGTGGTATAGTAGTCTGGTGGTCTGGTGGTATAGTAGTCTGGTGGTCTGGTCTGGTGGTCTAGTGGTATAGTAGTCTGGTGGTCTGGTCTGGTGGTCTAGTGGTATAGTAGTCTGGTGGTCTGGTCTGGTGGTCTAGTGGTATAGTAGTCTGGTGGTCTGGTCTGGTGGTCTAGTGGTATAGTAGTCTGGTGGTCTGGTCTGGTGGTCTAGTGGTATAGTAGTCTGGTGGTCTGGTCTGGTGGTCTAGTGGTATAGTAGCCTGGTAGTCTCGTGTACTGATGGTCTATGGTTTGGTGGTCTAGTGGTCTGGGGGTCTGGTCTGGTGGGCCACTCACAAATAGTAATGCTTCTTTCATAAAACGAAATTCCGAAACAACCTGAATCTGAAAAGGTACGCTAAAATCGTTCATTAACATCACCGCAATAATTAGTCAAATATCCAGTGCTAATTAGTACGTGTTTTATGACAGTATTTACCTCAATATGTATTACGCTAAGTACTCAAATATCGTTTTCTGAATAATCTTCCCTCAGTGATCGACTATTTATCTTTAGAAGAGCGTATAAATCTTGTTAACATAAATAGACGTGTGTTCATCAATTTTTTATTGCCTTGCAAATCTAGACTTTTCTTAAGGGTATTTGTGCGGTAAATCTTCTCTTTTGGCAATTAGACATTCCTGGCATACTTTTCTATTTAAACGGGTATTTGGTCTGAAAGTATTTGTTTCGGAAAATATTGAGCGCCCTTTCCCCATATAGTAGTAGCCGCAGCATATTAGTACATCATGCTTGGGCTTTTTAGAAGAGCTCCTGATGTTAGTGTTACTCTCTCAGTGGTGTCAATGTTATCAAGATTGTTTACAAGAAGATATTCACCTTTCAAGACTTTCTACCAAAAAGGAAGAAATCTTTAAATCTTTGAGACTTTCTTCCAGAAGAACTAATCCTTTAAAGACTTTCTCAAAAACGTTTAAGACTTTCTCGTAGAAGAACTTTTCACTTCAAGACTTTTGCATAGAATATTTCTCTCCTATTTTCTGCCAGAATTTATCCTGATACCAAGATTTTCTCTTGTAATAAACTCATCCCTTCAAGACTTCCTGTCTTTCCCTGGCCAACATTAACATCTCCCCCCCCCCTCACCTGAATCCTAGACCACGTGACATATCAGCTGAGGTATCTCTGAGATAAGAAAAAATCTCATCCACCTATCCAAGAAGATTAAATGAGGGGCAGCTTGTGTAAGCTCAAGTGATATAACTCACCTAGAGGTTGAACCGAGAAAGCACACTTGTGTTTATACATAGCTTGAACCAAACAAAAATGGTGTAAAAAGCCGCACCCTTTACAGGTTGTTGAACTAGGGATGTGAGACTAAAAATAGATTCAGTTTGAGAGGATTGTCTTCGTTTGACGTATACAATACTAGATCAGGGGAAGGTGTGAATGTGGCGGTTGGTGTGGGTGTAGGTGTGGATGTACGTGTGGGTGTAGGTGTAGAGAAAAGTGTGGAAGTAGCTGTGAAAGTAGGTGTGGGTGTAGGCGTGAGTGTGTGTGTGTGGGCGTGGGAGTAGGCGTGAGTGTGGGTGTAGGTGTAGTTGTGAGCGTAGGCGTGAGTTTGAGTGTAGGTGTAGTTTGGGATTAGGATTAGCCTTATAATTATTATTTTTACGTTCATGTGTGCACGACTCATCCGGTTGATTAGTACCACTACTTCAGGTATATATTTATCCTTCAATGAAATATTAATAACCAAAATTAAAATTATACATTCTTACATTATCGTTGGAAATAAAAGAATATTGAATAAATATTATCAGTTTGAAAAAGATAACTGATTTAGAAGTGGATCATCTGTTATTTAACCGTTTCGATAACAAACCAACAGCCATTGTGACCTAAGTAAATGTAAGTAAAATTATTCTATTATAGTTACTTCCCATGTAAATGTTAAATGTCACAAATGGAGACAACCTAAACTTTGGCTCCCAAAAACACTAAGAAATACAGAAAAATTCAAGTTTCAAATTAAAAAGATAAAGATCCTGGTTTTTTTATATAATAATCATTGAATTAAAACATAATTTTGTAAGAAACTGTATAATTTGTATACGTTTTTTCTTATTCTATAAAAATTCAATTGACTCTGATTTTTATGAAAAAGCCTTATCTTTTTACAGTTATTTAATTATAAATATAAAATTTGATAATTTAAAGTGCTTGTACCCTTGGAACATGAAATTTTTTTTGGGTTCTCTTCGCAATGTGTAAATCTGTCGCCTCTTACTGCTAAAGATTTTCAGAAGCCTAATATTTTCAAAGCAACACCAACAGTGGGGTTGCGCCCACTTAACTCATTCCTCCGGCGAAGGCTTATGTTACAATACAAGCAGCTTAATGTAAACCATGGCCCCATCCATTTCATGAACAACAGTCACCTTAGACCTGTCTAAGGATGGCTGTCCGGGTCTTTTCAACGCCAACACGATGCAAGTCACTATCAAAAGCAGAGGTCTATCTAACCTTGGAGGCCACGTCACTAGGCAGCTGATTAGCCAAAAACCTATTCTTTTACTCCATTACGGAAGAGTCGATACATGGTTTTTCAGCTCCAATGCCTTCGATGTTACCATGATACACAAGACTACGAAGACCTACGGACCGTACTCTCTGGTTCGTAGTTAACGACAAGAATAGAACGACGGAACCTTAAGATGGGCCCCGCCTACAATTGACAATGACACTCACATCAAGGCACTAAAAACATTCAGTATAAAAGAACCCCCAATACAAACCATCCCACTAACAACCGCAGAATAACCATATACCCAGGAAAATCAGCAGACATTCCACACTATATTAAATTAAGCTACAAAGACAAAACAACTGACATTCTAATATAGCTTTGAAGGTTGTGAAACATACACGTTTTTTTTTAATACTACAACTAGGTCGGGTGTCACTCGGTGCGGTCCGCACCCCCCGCTCCCGCCTCGCGACGCCTCTGGGTCTTTAAACTGATTTTCGCGATTTATCAAATGTGATGCAAAACAGAAAATGTTAGTAAATTTTTTAGTCATGTTTTCTTCATTAACTAACTTGAAATGCTTCTATTACATTATGCACACACTTAATACCTGATGTAGTTTATGAAGATAATCTAAATGTACCAAGCTGTTGTAACCAGTAGCGGGGGGGGGGGGACATATGTCCCCGGGCGCCGATCTTAGGGGGCGCCAAAATGGGTTGGAAAAATAAATTGAAAGCTCGAGGGGGGTGTAAATCGAAAGTTTGAGGGGGGGGGGGTGGGGGTGGAAATCATAAATCTTGAGGGCGGGGGTGCAAAACGAAAGTTTGAGGGAGGTGCAAATCAAGATCTTGAGGGGGGTGCAAATCGAAAAGTTTGTCCCCGGCGCAGGGAAGGGTCGCTACGCCTCTGGTTGTAACAAAGCTATTTCCCAACAGAAAAATGTCGAAATTTAAAGGTCAGCATGCCCTCTTCTGTACCACTCCTCTCTCTCTCTCTCTCTCTCTTTCTCTCTCTCTCTCTTTCTCTCTCTCTCCTCTTCTTTTCCCATCTAAAATAACAAACGTTTAAAATCCCATTTTTTAAACTTTCCGAATCCCATGTTATCAACAAAATGCTCTTTTCATCTTTGTTTTTCGCATTAAATTTTAAAACAATGATCCATTACCCGCAATGAAGCTACTTCCCTTATTTTAAAAAAAAATTCTTTGTGCATTACATTAATGGAAGCCAATATAATCCTCTATTTTGACAACCAACGCATTCATGTTTCACCCAGGCATACCGCAAAAGCGCAGCTTTCAGTAAGTAACAAAGAAATGACTTGAATTATTTATTTTCTCATCCCCCCCCCCCTTCCACGGGGCCATTTTTAATTTATTAGTTAGTAATTCCCTTCTAAGCTGACCATTATATAAGTAAGAGCATTGATATCTACATTATTAACGGCCCCCAAACAACAACATCAATTTATCGACCATCTGTTTGTTTTGTCACATCAACCGTACAACTTCATCACATTTGATTTCTTGATGTAATTATGTGGGCTTGACTGGAGTTTGTCGATTTGACTGCATTGATTGATACCGATTTGACTGAATCATACCAACTTGACTGAATGATACCGACTTGACTGAATGATACCGACTTGACTGAATGATAAATATTTGACTGAATGAAACTAACTTGACTGAATGATACCGACTTGACTGAATGATAACGACTTGACTGAATGATACCGACTTG